GGGGGGTGAAGAGCGAGACGCCCCCAGAGCGGGACCTGCACCGGGCAGGGGACAGCAGCAGCAGAGGCTGCGGCCAGTGGGACACGGCGGCGCCAGGCTGGGCCTGGCTGGGTGGGGCGGCCGAGGGGGTCCCCCGTGGGGCCCCTCCTGCCTGGCAGGCCTGCCACCCACACAATACCAGGGGCCGGCGGCCAGGGCCCGCACCGCTGCGAGCTCCACACCGCCGGCGCGGCTCAGCCCGGGGCTCCACGGGGAGGCGGCGGAGGACATGTCCTTGGGGGGACGACCCCATTCTGCCCTGGGGGGCCCGGAGGCCGCCAGCTGCCAGACCGCCAGGTGTCCATCATGCCCCTCCCCACCTGCACCTGCGCAAGGGGGCTGAGTGATCAGATGCTGCCTCAGGACCAGGGGAGGGGGCCCCCTCCCCCCAGACGGTCTCCAGACCAGCTCTCCCTGGCCAGGGGCCCCGCGGTCCCGCCAGGGGCCACACCCCGGGCTCCACCACCTGGGGGGCCCCACTCAGCCCCAGACAGGGAGCTGGGCCGGCTGGAGCGCAGACACCGGTCACCAAGGATGCGCCCGTGCCCTTGGTGACCGGTGTCTGCCTGGCGCACGGGCCTCCTGCTGGGGTGCTCACCTGGGTCCGGGGCGGGTGGGACGCGGAGGAGGCCGGGTCCTGGTGTCCGAGGCGCCCCCCAGGGCTCAGGGTCGGCACTGCAGGGCTGGAGGGGGCTGGCGGCGAGAAGAGGGGCTCAGGTGGGCGCACCAGACCTCCACTCTCCCGCACAACTGCCACTTGAGGGTGTCCGCCGGCTGCCCTCACCCGCCTGCGGCTGCTCTGCATCGGGCTCCTCCTTCACACAGCAGCCGAGCGGAGGCGCAGGGCCCGGGCCCCCCGCGTCGGCAGGGGCTTTCTCCAGGGCCGAGCCCGGGCGCGGCCCGGGAGCTAGGGGCGCCTCTGTCTCCTGGGCTGCCGGGGCCACCTCCTGCCGCAGGACCTGGACTGCGATCTGAGGGACGTGGCCGGTCACAGGCGCTCAGGCCGCCCGACCCCTGGGCGCGGCCCCACTCACCCAGCCCAGCAGGGGCGCGGGATCCCGCCGCAGCCCCTCCACCAGGGCAGCGGCCTCCTCGGGGCTGCCCGGCCGCTGGCCCTGCACCCAGGCCCGGATCTCGGGGGGCAGCGCGCCCAGGAACTGCTCCAGCACCAGCAGCTCCAGCATCTGCTCCTTGGAGCGCGCCTCGGGCCGCAGCCAGCGGCGGCAGAGCGCGCGGAGCCGCGCCAGGGCCTCGCGCGGCCCGGCCGCGTCCCGGTAGCGGAAGGCGCGGAAGCGCAGCCGCGCGGCCTCGGGGTCCCCTGAGGACAGGCTCTCGGGGCCCGGGGGCGATGCCATAGTGCTGGGAGTCCTGGGGTCAGCCACGGCAGCCTGCAGGGACGGAGGGGTGAGCGCGGCCAGGCCAAGGCCCACACCGAGGGGGCGCCAGGGTGTGAAGGCCCAGGGGGCGCGGCGGAGGCCCAAAGGCCAAGCAGGTCCCCAGGGGCGTTGGGGGCGTTGGGGGCGGGGCGAGGAAGGGGGCAGGAGACGGACCGGGCGGGCAGCCCTCCGGGACGCCCCGCCCATTCAGAAAGCCACGCCCTCAGGACCCCGCCTCCGGGGAAGCTCCGCCCCGCACGGTGACGGCCCCGCCCCACCCAGTCGGTTCTATCACGCGCAGGCGTCCCAGGGCACATCCGGTACAGGCACCGCCCACCCCCCGCGCGTAGCTTTGGCCAATGAGGCGCCTGTTGCGAAGGCCCCCGCCGTTCCCGTGGACTACGTTTCCCATGAGCCTCCATGGGGAAGGGGGGCGCGGCCTCCGCCCGTACTGAGGCCGCTCCGGACTAAGGGGCCCTGCCCCTCGGGGGCACGTGCAGACCGCGGAGTTCGCGGACCCCTCCCCTTGCTGGCATCCGAGCCCGGGGACTCACCAACGGCTGAGGCAGAGGGGACCTTGGAATCCTGCGCATGTGCGCGTCAGCCCACGCCTATTGGCAGGCGTGGTGGGGCGTGGCCGTCCCAGCCAATCAGCGCTGCGCCCGCCCCCTCGGGGCGTCGTCTCCCCGCCCAGCCATCGCCTCGGTAACCGCCGGAGCACTTCCGCTCTCTCCAGGGCAACGGCCGAGCGTCGCC